TATCATTTCCCTAATGATTGTCTTGAAGCTGCTAGACGGGAAAGGAGAGTTGGAGCGACACAGGTCCTCATTAACGGCCTCAGAGGGACAGAAGAGTGGAGGGATGTTTGGGGAGACTGCCAGGAAAGTTAGTGAAATGAGGCCCCGAGTGCACAGACAGAGTCAGTAAGGGTGGCATCCTGGCAGGTTTCACAGCCCATTCATGGCCGTTTCCTGTCTGGTCCCTTCCCTTTGTTCCCTGCACTTGGTCTTCTCAGACGTCTGGTGCTGGTGTCCATGACCTTCAGTTTCGGTTGGGACTTTGTGTTGGTTCTTTTGCTTTTTCAGAATAAATATAGCTTTAATTGATTTTATAATTTTAAATTAACACATGCTCATTATAACACTCAGACAATACATACAGCAATAAGGAGAAAGTAAAAAATAACCCCACTACCCTGAGAAAGCTCATTATCCTTCCAGCAAGGCAATTTTTTTTCTTTAGCTCCTTTAAATTTTTTTTTATCTTAAAGGGATCTTCTATGCATGCACGTTTCTTTTTTTTCTTTTGTGTACACAATACAGAAATTCCAAATGGGTGTTCAGTGTAGAGAGAGTATGGTACCTTCTGTAGGGGTACATCTGGCTCTGGTTTTCTTATGCTACTCACTTATCCATTGATTAATTAATTAATATTTTTAAAGATTTATTTATTCATGCATACAAGAACTGGGGTACAGGCCAGATGCGCGGGAGGGTGAGAAGATTCACCAGAGTCAGAGTGGGGAACAGAACAGGGAGACTGACGAAATACACTGCTGAGGGGAGCAGCGGGTGAGACAGGAGAGGTCTGCCATGCCATGTGGGATTCTCGCTGGCCAGCTGGGATTGAACCCGCACTGCAGAGGCTGCAGACAGCTTCACAGCACTGTGCTCAACCACCTGCGCCACCAGGGGAGGCCCTCCATTGATTAATTTATTAATTGAAAATCAGTTGTTAGGTGCCCACTTCATGCTGGAAAGGGGTATGGAGGTGAATGAGACAGCAGAGATCCTGACTCAGGCTCATCTGCCTCTGGCTCTGTTAGCTCCATTTCTTCAAGATCTCAAGCCACGAATAGTCTGGACCTCAGGGAGAGGCTTTGTTCTCCAAAATGTGTCAGGGTCTGGTACAGATGTAATGAAGTCTCTGAATTCCTGGGCAGACCCCTGAGCAGATCCCTGAGCAGATCCCTGTCCTGTGTCACGAAGGGCATTGTTGTTGGAGGCCCTGACAATTTGGGGTATCCCTTGTCCTTTCCAGGTTGTGTTTTTGTCTGGCTGTTGTACAGGGCATCATTTTTAGAGATGCCCTTCCCTTTGCTGATGGAGCATGACCACTGCTAGTGGGTTTCAAGTTCTGCTGCGGGAAGAGATAGGGGCAGGCCCTTGAGTCAGCTCCCAAGGGTGGGAGGAGCAGGAGTGAGTGGCTACAGCTCTGTCTGTGACCTGCTCTGTGTGCAAGAGCGGTGTTAAGCACTGTTGGTGGAAAGAAAGACAGAACACCACTCCAGCTTACAAGGTGTAGTTTCTTGGGGGAGGTAATACAAGGAAAAATGCACTGTGCAAAAAGCACTGGGAGAAGCCATCACAGTCGAGGTGATATTTCAGCTTGATCTTGATAAGGAAGAGACTGGCTCTTGCTAGGGGAAGCAAAAGCTCTGAGATGTAAGTGGCTGTTTCTCAAATAGAGAAAAGTAGCCCAGAGGTTAAAGAAACAAGTAGCGGGAGAGTTGCTGGGACTTGGACAGAATTGGATGTCCCTTGTGCTTTCCTTTCCAAAGACTTCCTGTCTCCATCTTCCTATCACCTTTTCCACGGGTACATGGAATTTTCACGTCTCACCTTTTCTTCTCATTGTGATTCTTAGTTGCCTGTGACATAAGTTCATCCAAGGTTGAGATGATCTGTGGGGCCTCAGGGGACATTCCCACTCCAGGATATGTGCATGTGAACAGTTTTCAGAATTTTAAGCCCAATGTTCATTGCTCTGAATGGGTCCTTAGCTATCACACCATTAACAAAGGATTTGGATGGGATGGAGGTAGGAATGGACTCTTCAGAAGTTATAAATTTACAAACTCTCACCTTTAGTTTCTGGCCTTAAGTTACTCCACAAGACCTCATGAATTCTCAGACACCTAGGCAGGCACAGGAAGTCTGGCTCATCAGCACCCAAGGCCTTTCTCTTACCCTGGGGACACTGCAGTGATGACCACACTACCCAAGGGTGGCCCTGCGTTCCCCAACATACCTCAATTAGTTGTCCCTGGACACTTAGGGCCAGAGGAGCTTAGAGCTTCTAGCAGGGAGCTATGTGCTTTGTGTATCTGGCTGGGAAATGCGGGTGGGGAAGTGTTGAAGTGGGGACCCCAGAGCAGCTACGATGGCTCACGTGAGTATTGCTGCATAGAAAGGCCTCATTGGTACACAGCCAGCCAGTCCTTCCTGCAGGTCAGTCCCTAAGGGTTAATTTGCTTTTATGTCTGTAGTTATTACTTTCAGGTTTTCAGGGGATAAAGAGTGAAGCTCTCCCCCCTGCTCCCCCCCCCCCCCGCCAAGCTGGAAAAGAACCCTTGTGATGTCTACAGCTTGGATCTGCCCAGTGACTTTCTGAGCTTGCATGGAACATTTCTAGCTGCAGGGCTGGCCAGCTGAACCCCGCACTTTGTGAGCATTTTTCTTAGCAACAAGGATTGGCAGGGCATGAAGTGGAAGAGACACAAGGTTCACACCACCACCGCCTCCTCTCCCACTTCAGGATATTGGCAGTGGGCTCTGCCCTGTGTTTCAGAGCTCCCCGAGAGTGTTCTTGTGGGCTCCATTCCCAGGATAGGTGCTCTGACCGAAGAGTTATATGGTGGAGCACTTGTGGGCATGCCATGTACTGTTGCATTCCCTTTGGGAAGGTATGTGAACATATTTGGTTGTGAATACTCCAGAGCCTGCATTTTAGGGGCGATGTCCTAAATGTTCTCAATTTCTGCTGTCCTTTGTTAGGGATTTGAGGGATGTTCTCAGGAAAGGGCATGATTTCTGGGCTACCCCTTTGTCACATTCCCATTTTCATTTTACCATTCAGGTCTGGAGAATTCTGGGTCTGGACCAGGCCTGACATGCTAGCCTGTGCAGAGTTTATGGGGTACAGGGTCTAGCTGTGTTCCCTGTCCCTCTACACTTTATTCAGAACTCTGGGCTAGAGCCTGTGATGGGAGGGAGACATCTCCCCTCTGGGTATTGGTGGTCTTGGGTAGAGCATGTGTGGGGAGATGTCCTGAGAAAGTGGGCACAGAGCTAGTTGGGCCTCTGGAGCATGTCTGTGGCACATTCAGCTCTCAGGGGCCTAATTTTGAGGCTAGAAAGATTGGGGAGGGAGGAATGGCTGGGTGAGGCTCCTGTGTGACTAGAGGATTTTTGTGGGCATAGTGGGGTACGGAGACAGGGGACTGGTCCCCTGGGCCCCTCCATCTTTCAGATCCAGTGCCCAAGCTGCATGGCATCAGAGTCCCACATATCACCATCGGGTAGGGGCCTATGTGTGTTGGGAATGTATGGGACGGAAGGGGGGCCAGCTGCTGGGAATGTGACTCAGGGCTGCATGGTGATGAGAAGACATGGCTGAATGTGAGGGGCTGAGTGGAGGGGCCTCCAGCTCAGATGCAGTGCCATTTCACCCCCGCCCCCCTCTATTCTGGTGCCAGGACTGGGGAACTGGGGCCGGGGGATGTCATACTTCTGGCACATGCACCTCTGTGTATGGGAGACATATGCCCTACCTTTCCTTTGAGATGGCCCAGGTGCCCATTCACCATTTATGTCATGGACACAAATATCATGGCAGAAATGGGGAGGCATCTCTACTCCTGGGAGAAGGCTCTTGACCTTACATCCTACACACCCAGCCTGGCTCTGTGGGTACATGGGGAGATCAATCCCTCTCCTCTGCCAGATCTCTCTTCTCTCTTTTCTGGGTTCTAGAATGTGCCAGGGCCTAGGTTGCTTGGCAAGACCAGTGGCAGCAGCTCACGTGTATCATCACAACAACAGCTGCAGTATGAAGTCTGACCTGCAGAATGAGTCCACTCCATTAACTGGGGATCCCCCTCTTGCCACCCTCAGGACTCTATAAACACAGCCTTTCTGCTGGCACTTGAGTGATAGTCCTGCTTTCCAGAAAGGCACAAAGAGCCCCCTCACCTGCAACAAAAACAGCTTGGACTCATTATCCATTGTTCTTGTAGTTTTGTTGCTAAAGGTTCTGGCCTTTGTGTCCTGGATGTGGACACACAATGAATCTGCTTCCTGTAGGTGCAGAAGCTTAAGAGAAAATAAGGTGGCTCAGAGCACGCATCTGCTGACCCTGTGAAATATTTTTCTGAGTTGGATGTTAAAATAAAAGGGAGCTCATGTGGAGAGAATTGTTCCTTTTCCCTGGGCTCTGCTTGTACCTGGTGCAGAGGTTCTAGGGCAGGAACTCCAGATGTGATTCCCAGAGGCACTAGCAGACAACCACAGCTGGCTCCTGGTGAGAGCACTGTCTATAGTCCCGTGGTGTGGGAAGAGCAGGGGGCCCACAGTGGTATCAACTGCAATTCTTTCCCCCTTCATTCGACTTCCATTTTTAGTCCCAGTTAATTTCCTGCTATATTGTGGAATTGAGTACCAACCACGTGTGTCTGTGAAGGAGCATGGCTGGCCCTTAGCAGGTGACACAATAACTGCTTCTGATTGGGCTTGAACACAAAATCATCTCCAGGAAAAGGAAGAATATTATTTATTGGCTACATTCTTCCTTTTGTTGGAGATGATGCTTTGTGCTCAGAACCGAGTCAGAGATGGTTGTAGTTGCACATACTAAGGGCCATCCACTGTCCCGCACAGACATACGTGGGCTGATAAAGTCTGTGTATTTACGTGCATGGCCGTCTTGGAGACTGCGTCCCTCCTGCTTTGGCAAAGCTGTTCCTTAACTCCTTTCCCACGCCTTTTGAGTACATGATCCTGGCTACCATCATTGCCAACTGCATCGTCCTGGCCCTGGAGCAGCACCTTCCTGAGGACGACAAGACCCCAATGTCCCGCAGACTGGTATGTGCCCATTCTCCTCCCTCCCTCCTTACCCTCCCTCAGTTCTCTTTTCCTTAGCTTCAGCATCTTGCCCCCAGCCACCTCCCCACCCTATAGTTCTGTGAGGAGCATGATCTTTGCCAAGGGACAAGTTGGTGACAAACCATATTGGGATTCACAGGGATGAGAGGACTGACCTTTTGAAAAGAAATCCTGCCCCCAGGAAGTTCTGAGAGCAAACACTTGTATACAGTGCCCCACAGCCAGGACCTGCATGGGGTCTGTTTGCTTTACTCCCTTTCTCAAGGGACTTTTGAGGTAAGAGAAAAAGGGAGGACAAAGGAGAGAGGAGGAAGGATGCTCAAAACCTGGGGCATCTCCAGCAATGAGCTTGCAAAGAGTTTTATTCACATTCTCCCTAAGTAATTGCCATACCCAATGTGTTCCTCATGAAGAGAACAGCCCCGCTTGATTCCTGGTGGATGAGAACCTTGAAGCACCCAGTGTGCGTGTAGGCCAGCAAGAACGTCAACTCCTTCACAGCCTGGTCACACCATCAGGGGCTAGCATGGAAGTCCGGTCCTAGGTGAACCCACATCCATCTATTTCTCCAGCTGACTCCTCTGGGGCTTCCCTTGCTCTTGTATACCCTACAAACCCTTTAGCACCCTCACATCTCACCTGCAATAGGGATTGTCCAAGCACAGACATCCGGCATCCTGTATGAGAGGGGAAAGCCCAGAGTGGAGGTGGTGTCCCGAGTGTGCATTGCCTACGTCTCATGAAGCACAATCCACCCCTGATGGGCTCCACTGTTGTTTATCCCACAGGAGAAGACAGAACCATATTTCATTGGGATCTTTTGCTTTGAAGCCGGCATCAAGATTGTGGCCCTGGGCTTTATCTTCCACAAGGGCTCATATCTACGCAATGGCTGGAACGTCATGGATTTCATTGTGGTCCTCAGTGGGTGAGTCTTCCTGGCTCCTTCTTTGTATATATGGCAGTGCCTGTGGTGTCATGAGGTGACTGAGCCTGGGGCAGGTGGGGGGGGGGAAGCAGTCTGTGGAGTAGGGACAGAGGAAAAAATTCAAGGGTAAGATTCTACATGGGGCCTGTGCCCCTCAGGGGATGTAGTGCTCTGAGGAGATGCAAGGGTTCGGCAGGTGCAGGGAGTTCTCATGGAGAGACGCTGTGTCTTCTGGGTTCCCATTCTCAGCTTCGCTAGTGCTGCGTCTTTTCATTGAGCCAAGCAGCTGGTGCTTACCTGAGGGGCGCCCCCAAAAGATGGGTCAAAAGATGCCATGGCTACTCTTTTCCTTCGGAGCTTGGGGAAGACCCTGGCCATATTTTCTAAACTGATAACTAAAAGTCATGTTCTGAAAACAGAATTTCTGTTTTGAAAACAGAACATTCTGCTGATAACTGAGACTCACGTTCTGAATGTTCTGAAAACAGAATTTTGTACAATTTGCAGATGTATTAAAATGGAGGAGGTATGAAATTGAATCACTTTAAGATGTTTGAAAAATCATTCCTTTTGCGGTGAATACAGCAGTACTACAGTGTGGCTGGCCAGGCATCACAGGAAGCATATAGGATGTATTTAAATGGATGATAAATCATTGTTTTGGAAACAGACATAGCGTGCCTGTATTGAGGTTGAACCAGTGCCACCGGCAGCCGATGTGATAGGCCTTGGGCTGCTGCGATGGGCATGCCTCATTGCTCTTTCTGGGCTTCTGGTTGGTCTTTGTCTCAGGTGGGTCCAGGTGTGTGCAGGTGTGGTGTTGGGGGGTGTGGCCTGGGATTTCTCTACTGGCTACCTGTCAACTAGTAGTTCAAACCTGTGATGAGAAGAAGAGTGTGGAAAGGGGAATAGGGAGAATTTGTAGTGTTGTGAGGACTAATCAAAGGGAGAGGGGCTAAGAAAAGACATTTATCCTGGGAATGACCAGAGGTGTGATCAGAGAAAAGTTTGGGAGCATTTGTTTATTCATTGTCTGTGGAATGGCATAGTCCTCTGATTTTTTTTTTTTTTAAAGCTCACTCCAGGCTGTGGAATTTTCTTTTTCTTTAAATTTTTATTTATTTATTTATACAAGCACTGGGTACCGTCAGAAGCGTGGGAGGGTGAGAGAATTCACCAGAACCAGAGCGGGGAACAGAACAGGCAGAATGATGGAGGTACACTGCTGAGGGGAGCAGCGGGAGGCAGAGGAGGGCTGCGTGCCATGTGGGACCCTTGCCCGGCAGCCGGGGATCGAACCGGCGCTGCAGAGGCTGCGGGCAGCTTCGCAGCCCAGTGTGCAACCACTGCACCACCGGGGAGGCCCCCATAGTCCTCTGATATTTAACCTTCACATCAACTGGGATTACGTGAAAGGAAAAGTTGAAGGTGTAATGGTCTGGAGTGTAGGAGTAGAAGCTCCAGCAGCCAACCCCTAGCTCTAGGGAACAGATAAAGAGATAATCATTAATTTTAAAAGTATCTGTTGCTTTACAAAAAGGATTTTCTGAAGATTATTTTTCTATAAAAACATTCTACTGCTGCATTTTAAATATGATTTAGTGTGTAAAACTATAATTAACACAGTGTTTCAGAAGTACTTTGTCATAGAAAATACAGCACACCTGGATGATGCTTTTTATTTCCCCCCACCCCTCCTTTACTGAGCTGTGATCGACATAGGTTGCATCCAGATTTACTGCACTACCTGAAAGTAGAACATTCCTCTTTGATAGGAATTAGTAGATTATTTTGGGTATCTGGGAATGCTAAACATTTTTTCCTTATTAATTAATAGTATGTGTTTCCAGACCCAAAAAATAACAAATCATGCCAAATACGAAAGCTCTACCTACAATATTGGAAAAACCTGTATAGTTAGTGTGTACAATGTGATGGTTTGATATACATTGTGAAATGATTCCCACAATCAAACTAATTAATATATTCATCTCATATCATCATCATTTTTCTTTTTGCATGATAAGAACACTTGAGCTCTGTTAGCAAATTTCAAGTATATAATACGTTATCATTAACTACAGACTGTGAGCTTACAGTCGATCTGCAGAACTTGGGCATCTATAGCTGAAAGTTTGCCTTTTGATTAATAATATCTCCCTTGTTTTCTCCCCCTCCTCCATCCCCCCCAAACTCACTACCATTCTTTTCTCTGTTACTATGAATTTAACCTTCTTTAAAAATAGAGTCCACATATGAGTGAGATCACACAGTGTTTGTCTTTCTGTGTCTTTTTCTCGCTTAGTATAATGTCCTGTATGTTCATTCATGTTGTTGTAATAGCAGGGCTTCCTCCTTTTGAAGGCTGAGTAATATCCTATTGTGTGTATACATATATGCCGTATTTTCTTTATCCATTCATCTGTCTATGGACACTTAGGCTGTTTCTGTGTCTTGATTACTGTGAGTAATGCTGCAGTGAACATGAGGGGCAGATGTCTCTGAGACAGTGATTTTATTTCCTTTGGATAGATACCCAGAAGCAGCATTGTTAGATCATATGGGAGTTCTATTTTTAATTCTTTGAGGAACCTCCATACTGTTTTCCAATTTACATTCCCACCAACAATGTATTAGGGATTCCCATCCCTTCTCCTTGCCAGTGGTTATTTTTTGGCTTTTTGATAATAGCTGGGTGACATTTTAAATGTCCCTGAAATAAATAATATATCCTCTCTTATGAAAAGCCTAAATGAGAATCAGTCATTTAGAAATGTTATGCTCTGTCTAGAAGAACAGTACTATGACATATATGTATTCTATGTTAAGATTGTATGAATCCTTGATCCTGCATCAGAAGTCATTTGAAATGTCTCATTTAGTGCCTTTATTTTTATCTTAAACTTTAAATTTCTATTTAACACTTAGTTATTGAATAATTTAGTTATTAATATTTCATTTTTATTAAAGAACATAAGGAAAATAAAAGTCAATGGAAGAAAAAATAGTTCTCTGATTATTTTGAATTTCCTCATTATTTTGTGATATTTCCTTCCAACCCCTTAATGCTCAGCACACTCTTTGATGCTTATAATGTTGCTGCCTTTTTTAATATTACATGAGCTTATTATATATTACTCCATATTTTGGTAGAAATCTGTAATGAGTGATAGCAGTTTGTTAAATAGATATACACAGCTTATGTCTCTGTTTTTGTAGTTTTTAACACTTGATTGCTCTCTGATTTTGACATTATATGTTATATGTCATTATTAAAGATGTTCCATTGTACCTATTTTTGATGTCACCTTTTAAGAGGCATTTTGACAGGTTGAAGTGTGTGTAAGGGGAATCCGCCATTCTGGTGTGTGTGAGGGAAGGTGGAGGAATTTCCACTGGATGGGGGACAGACAGGAGCTGTAACCACCCTGGGAGAAGGAGCAGGTTGGTAGGGCCTGGCTGGGTCCTGCTGTTAGCCACAGAGGCCCTCTGCATGAGAGTCTGCATGGACAGGGAGCACTTGGGGCAGGGCAGCTGCCCTCTCTGTTCCTTCACCGCCCAGCCCTGGCTTCTCCCATTCTCAGTGGCTCTTCCTACTTTGCTGGCTCTGGCATTGTCTCCGAACCCCCCGCTGTCCATCTGTACCCATAGGATGTTGCTCCTGCTCTTGTCAGCACTTACTCATCTCGCTCTCTCTCTCCTAATACACTTGAAACGTCCAGGGAAAGGGCTGGGCTCTTGAGCTCCCTGTTGAGGACTTTGGTTCTGTCTCACAGAAATGGATAGTCAGATTTAGCCTTACATTCATGGGGTGCTTTTCTCTACCACATTGTGTTGCTTCTTAGGTGCACATTTCTATGGCCTAGCCATCTCTAAAATCAGCCTGTGTCTTCCAGTAATGGCATGGTATAGTTTAATTGACAGCTGTTTTCTTTCTTTGCGGGAGGTAACATCATGGGTCATCTTACAAATGTTGGGGTCTTAAAAGCAGTGAAATAGCATGTAACGCCAATGCAGACGGGCAGGCTTGGGAGAGGAGTCCCTAAATCCTCAGTGAGGTTACAACTCAGCCAGAGAACCCCTCTTCCCAGAGATCCAGGAGTTGGAACAGCCCTCTCTAGGCTTCCTGACACCGCCCCCACAGAGCCCCTGCTGGAGGCTCTAGCTCCTCACCTCATGTCCAGGTGTCACCTCACATTAACCCCTGTGCACAAGAGTGACAGGTGTTGAGCAGTACAGCACCTCAGGCTGCGGCTGCACAACTTCTCAGCTCTGATGTGTGAATGGAGGGAGGAGTGAGGTGGGTGCTGAGGTGTCAGACAGCTGGCTGGGTGAAAGACCTTCTATCACTGACCTTTGCTAAGCAATGGATTTGGGGACCTGTGCCACCCCATTCAGCCTGTACCACTGACCTAATGCTTTGCATTCCTAGGTCTGTAAGTTGACGTAGTTCATGGTTCTGAAAGACAATTTATGTACCTTAGTCATCTAGTCCTCATTGTCCCATAAATGGGATCTTGCTAGCCTCATTTTATAGAAAAAGAAAGTAGTAGCCCCATAGCATTTTGCATGCTGTCAACTCACAACTCATGGCTTCTGTGGTCCCATACCTCTGTGTTTGCGTGTTCCTTTAGTCCCTGAGAAGCCGGGTAGGGTGTACTCTGGGAGGAACATAATCAGGCAAATGTTCCTGACCCGAAGATGAGGCTTCAGGTACAACTTGAAGAGGACTGAGCCCCATGTGTACATCCTGGGACATCTCTCTGCGAACTTGGATAAAAGTCCTGTTCTGTGGTTAAGAAGGCACATTATTTTACTCTCATGTATTATTTTAATACCAAAAAAATCAGAAGTTCCAGTTGATTTCAGTATTAATTGACTAATTCATTCATTGATCCATTTATTCAATTACACTTGTATTGTTGAATACTGATACATGTTAATGTATTTTTATTTCTTCTCAATGGCAATTAGTGGAATTTGCCATTTCTTTAACAAAT